CGAAATATGGCAGATGAACCATCACTTGCAGTGGCATTGAACAACCTTATTGCTGTAAAAGGCCCAAAAGATGTATCTGATAGCTTAAGGAAACTTGATCGGCTTAAAGAGAAAGACTCGCAGAAGTTTGAGCTTGCGCATGCAATTGACTTGAAGCTTTCACCAAAACAAAAAGAGACACTATACGTGAATCGTGTTCTACTTCTTCTTCATGCAAATAAGATGGATCAGGTTTTCTGTTTTGGGATTTTGCATTTAGCACTTTTGATATGCATTTTACCGCTCTCTCTTTCGAGGGTAAACAGAAAAAGAAGATAGCTAATAAATTTGTTTCCTTTTTCTGTTGATGAATATCTGCAGGCTCGGGAACTTGTCTCTGTTTTGCCAGAGATGTTTCCTGACAGTGTGATGCCAGTACTGCTTCAAGCTGCTGTCTTGGTAAGAGAAAACAAGGCAGGGAAAGCTGAAGAAATGTTGGATCAATTTGCTGAGACATTTCCTGAAAAGTCGAAGATCATACTTTTGGCAAGGGCACAGGTTGCTACTGCTGCTGGTCACCCTCAAATTGCAGCTGAATCCCTTGTTAAGGTGCCCGATATCCAGCACATGCCTGCCACTGTTGCCACTCTTGTTATTCTCAAAGAGCGTGCTGGAGATATAAATGGTGCAGCCACAGTGTTCGACTCTGCAATCAAATGGTGGAAATCTGCTATGACCGAGGACAACAAGCTCAGTGTTATTATGCGAGAAGCTGCATCCTTCAAGCTCAGGCATGGCAAGGAGGAGGAAGCTGCCCACTTGTATGAGGAGCTTGTAAAAGGTCATGGAGATATAGAAGCATTGGTCGGACTGGTAACTACAGTTGCTCGTGTGAATATTGAAAAAGCTGAAGCTTACGAGAAGCAACTGAAACCATTACCAGGTTTGAAGGGGGTTGATGTGGATGCTTTAGAGAAAACTTCTGGGGCAAAACCTGTTGACGGTGCTTCTCGTGGCGGGATTGCTGATGCTCAAGAGGATGGTAAGACCAAGGAGAAACCAAAGAAAAAGAGGAAGAGAAAGCCGAGGTATCCCAAAGGGTTTGACCCAGCAAATCCTGGTCCTCCACCAGATCCAGAAAGATGGCTCCCAAAGAGGGAAAGGTCAAGTTACAGGCCTAAACGAAAGGATAAGAGAGCAGCTCAGGTGAGAGGATCTCAGGGTGCAGTGGTTAGAGACAAGAGTGAGTCTAGTGCTTCAGCTACCAATTCTAGTACTTCGAACCCGAAATCGCACCAATCCACTAGTTCAAAAGGAGCTTCACAGAACGCTGAGCCAGCACGACCTCAATCCAAGTCCTCAAGAAAGAAGTCTAGAAAGTAATCAGGAGAAAACAACGTTTTTGGGGTAAAGAAGTTTCAAACTGTTTCGCTTAAACATTATTTGTTTCTTCATGGATCATGATAGACGATAGTTGAACTAATTATGATGTTTGCTTTCATATAAAACCCTATCTAATCTTGATTTTTTTTGGAGGGAGAGAAGTGTTTCATAATTTCATTGGATCTTGATATATTCTGTTGTATCTCTGTCATTGGTCATCTCAGAGCAATGAGCTCTGTTTAATCTCTAATAAATAAGGTTGGTGGAGCTGATGAAGGGCCAGCATTAATGGAGTTTGGGTTTTTACATATTATTGATTAGTGCTTCTTTTAGGATTGTAATCAAGTCGAGTCAAACCCAGCCAATAAGAAGTTGAACTCGACTCCAAATCCTGGTCTAGCTTGCCTGAGTTCGGTTCAGCCGAGGGGCTGGCATTTATGGAGGTAGCTGTGTTTCTTTTATGTAATCGAGTTGCGAATCCAGGTTTAGGTTGATCGAGTTTGATATAGTTGATGCAGGCCAGCATTAAATGAGGTAGGATTTTTTTCACATTATTGTTTAGTATTGTGGTTGTATAATTTATTCGTGTCAAACTCAACCCTATAAGAAGTCAACAATCTCGATCAAGTTTTATCTGAGCCGAGCTTGATCTTTAGTTCGATTTGGACAATTAATAAAAAAATATAAAATTATTCTTATAAATGAAAAATAAAATTTTACTTAAGTTCGTTAATTGGTCAGTAACATGCATGAATTTAGTTCAACGATTTTACATTACTTCGATGATTAAACCGATATGGATCTTTTTTCTATTGGAGAGATGGAGCAGTGATTCAAGATTATATATATATATATATATATATATATGCAAAGTGATTTAAATTCTCATTCAAAGTAGTAATAATAATACAATTTAGAAAAAGATTTTATGGAACATTTGAAGGGATTTCGGAAGATTAAAAATAGTGGTCGATTTTTTATATATATTTTTAATTCAAATCCATTATACAATAATTATTTATAAATATAATAATAAAATATATAAATATTTTTAAGTTTTAATATTATTTAAGGTAATGGATCCCAAGCTTGGCTCAACAGAGGCTGACAGTTAAAATTGAAGGGAAGAAGCAAAACGCAACGCCAACGTAAATTAAAAACGCAATTAGGAATGGCAGAACGATGAAGAAATCCTAAATCCGGCTAAGTTCGGGTCGGGTCGTGTTTGAAAATTTTTGGATCGGGTATATAGTTTTTTTAGGGATTTTTTGAGGTTTGTGTTCGGTATCGGGACAAAGTATCCCGACCCGATATATATATATATATATATATATATATAATATTTTATTATTTTATATTTTTTATATTTAAGTGATTTAACCTAGGTTTCTCAGTTCTTACCCGATCCTCACTTTACTCTCTTATCTGCGGCTGCTCTCTTCGTTCTCCACTCTCCAGATCCAATTTTCTCACCATCAACAAATCTTCCTTTCATCAACAAATTGTGCCCGGTAACGTCAGTCGTCAGGTTTGTTCTTCCTTTATCTGTTTACTTTTCTATACATTCGATTCTGCTATTTGATTTTCGGTTTCGTTACTTTCGATAGGGTTGTGTATTTCTATCCTTATCTTCTCAGTTTCCTTTAATTTTGGTTCTGAATCTAGTAGTCACGGTTGATTTTTTGATTAATTATATTTTGAGAGGCTTTTGAATCGGATTTAATCTCTGAGACTTTGAAAATATGCTTATCGTTAAAGTAATGAATAATTTTTCCTTTTGAAATTTTAAACTTCTCTGCTTCATGGAAACAACTGAAACCCACCCCTTGCCCAGAATTTAGGATTCTAGAACAACACTGCTTTTCATTGGTCGGTTAATTTGAGCTAAAGCAAGATTTATTATATGATACTGGGTTTTGTATTTCTTTCTCGTATTTAGGTTTTCATTTTGTTAAGGTTATGCAATTGTTTTAAGATTTTCAAATTGTCCTGCTTCCTGTCTCAACCTGTAGCATTGCCTATTATACCTTTTCTCCTTGCTGTATTGATCTTTTGCTTCTAACACTGATCACTTTATTTGTTCTTATGAGCATGGTTGGTATTAAGATTTATTACTGGCTTGGAGTCTTAGGCAGTTTAGCTGTGAATGTTGGATTCTGGTTTGAATTCACACCCAGTCTGAATGGGCAATTGGAAGTTAGAACACTGTTCACCGTTTGGATTTCAGACAATTATAAATCCAGTTCGTATTCTGACCAAACAGTAGTTATTTTGTTTTGAATTCAAATCCCCAAGTTATTCCTTCCACAGGATTATTTCCTAATCTTTTGTGCCCTGAAAAATTGGATTACCTAATACACATGCTTCATATATATCTTAAATTTCTGTAACAGCCTTTTTCTGTTACTTTTCTATGTCCTACTTTGCTTTTCAATGTTTCTGCAAGATGATGATTTGATCAGCTGCTCCATGAGTCAACTTTTTTCTTGAATTTAATGTATTTCCTTTGACTTGTATCTTTGTAGGGATTTATCAAATAATCAATTAAAGTAAAACTTGGTTGATTTATTGTCGCTCTGTTATGTAGTCTTTCCATTGCTAAATAAATAATAAACTTTTATAGAACCTTACTCTTATAAATTCCCAGGGAACATGCTTCAGTACATAATATTATAGAGAGTAAATAGTCGGCTATTTGTTTCTTGTGGTTGCACACTTTATGTTCAAGTCTTTTTGGTGTCATTACTTTCTCCATCTTTTCCTATTATTATACATTTATTAGGATTTTTCTGTTTTTATGCTGGATGTAAAAACTATTTCTACTGGATGTGCATGAGAATGACATTGTAGCAATCATATAAGTTATGTCTATATTCCGTTATTACTTGATAACTTGTGTCATTTGGATGTTTTGGTACCTTTTGCCGTTGTTGCTTCAGTATGATTCAACTGCAGAGGAATGAGGAATCTGATATAGCAGAGTCCCATGGTGTTGGTGCTAGCATTCAAAAGAAGACTGGGAATGATGTTTGGAACTGTTGGAAATTGTGATGTTTGGATGAGGTAAATTGTGATATGGAAATTGTGATATTTGTAACTGTTGGTTGAAGAATTATATTTCTTTGTCAACATTACTACTTTGACGTGAATGATTGCTAATATGATTTGATGTGGTCTTTTAATCTTATTGAATTTAATAGCTAGTCGTCTAATCTTTGTAAAATTACACAATTTAGCAGACTGGAAACTTTAAAATGGACTTTTAATTCACAATTACTTATTTTTAATTCATAATTACTTCAGCAGGTTTGATTATGGATTATCTAACACCAACATCAAATCAGTTTTGAAATTTGATTAACCATCCTTAAACAATAACATAAATTATGCTAAATTTTGTAAATGATTGGCATATAGTACTCGGGTCAGGTTTGGGTATAACATTTTGAGTCGGATTCAGGGACGGGGCAAAAAAAATATCCGACGAGGCATCCCGATAAAAAAACCCGACGAAAAACAGAAACTGAATTCATTTCGGGGACGGGAGAGCAAAACAAGCCCTGTTGCCATTTCTAAACGCAACGCTCAAAAGAAAGTAGTTCACTTTGAGAAATACATTTGTATATACTCACTCCAACTCCTCCACCGTCTGCTGCTAAACGCTTTCTTCTTCAGATTCAGAATCGCCATGTACTTATCGGAGAAGCCCCACCCAATAGACGTCTACAAAGAGGAAGGTCCAGCTGCCGCCCATAACATGATAATCGAGGTCACCACCAATGGCGATTTGCCACCTCACAAGCACCACCATCCCCATCCCCACCACCAACAACAGCAGCTGCAACAGTCAATGATCTTAGGTGAAAGCAGCGGCGAAGATCCTGAAGTTAAAGCCCCCAAAAAACGAGCCGAGACATGGGTCCAAGACGAAACCCGCAGTCTCATTGGCTTTCGAAGAGAAATGGACGGCCTCTTCAATACTTCCAAATCCAATAAGCATTTGTGGGAGCAGATTTCAGCTAAGATGAGGGAGAAAGGGTTCGATAGATCCCCCACCATGTGTACCGACAAGTGGAGGAACTTATTGAAAGAGTTCCAGAAAGCTAAGCATCAGGATAGAGGGAGTGGGTCGGCCAAGATGTCTTATTATAAGGAAATTGAAGAGATTTTAAGGGAGAGGACCAAGAATGCCTATAAGAGTCCAACCCCTACTCCTAAAGCTGATTCATTTATGCATTTCGTTGATAAGGGTGTGCGTTTATATTGTTAGGCTTTTCCTTTTTGGCATTTTAGAAAGTGGAAAATTTTTGTTCAGTTGTTCATGGGTTATTAATGACTTATGATGGGTGTTCTTTGTAAAAAGCTCTATTCTGGTGGTTATTTCAAGACAGATGAAAGCTTTAGTGGTTGAATTTGTTGAAAGTTACTTCCTAAAGTGACTTAAGAGGGAATTATGAATTGCTATTGTTTGGACCTTTGATGATGAGATTCCCATATCCATACCTGAAAATATATAGGAAACAGATGCTTCAAGAGAAATGAAGAGTCGGAGCATGTAATAAAGTTGCTATTATTTTTTAGGTTGAATTTGTTAAAGTTACTTCCTGTAGCGACTTAAATGAGGGCATTATAATTGATATTGAAAAGAGGGGGGGGGAGAAGGGATCACTTTTGGTTCTTTCACTATAGGAATTTCTTTGATTTGAAATGACTTTTGACTGAGTAGGATTTCATTTTTGTAAATGGTTATAATGAGTGCTTTACAATAAATTTTGTTTTCTTTAATCATGCTTATGAAGATGATACTGAAAACTGCCGCTGATATCTTTATTGTGGTATTTTAGATGGATATATATATATATATATATATATATATATATATATATATATATATATATATATATATATATATATATATATATATATATATATATATATATATGTATGTATGTATGTATGTATTATATCTGCTCTTGAAGCAAGGTGCCAATCAAAAGAATAACTGCATGATTCAAAATATGGTATGGCGTTCAAGGTCCTTGAAGCATGAATCGTGCTCAACAGACCAGAAATTTTTATTTTGCTAGTTCTTTAAAGTTTAGAATATTATAGCCATTAAGAGCAGGGAAGTCGAATGTCAATAAGTGCTGTAGGCTTCTTTGGTTTCTTTAAAGCTTCGATATGATGTAAGGATTGTAGGCTTCTTTGGTTTCTTTTTAAAGTTGAGTATAGCCTATAATAGAGCAGGGAAGTTCTACGTAGAAAAGCGCTGGAGGCTTCTTTGGTTTCTTTTAAGTTTAGACATGGCGTAAAGGGCATGGGTTTCTCTGGTTTCTTTAAAGTTTAGAAAACCTGTAATAAGAGCAGGGAAGTAGTAGTAGTAAATATGTTTTAAGAATTAAAACATTATTTTGGTAGAGATAATTATCACTATTGATCTATCGATTTCCATTCCGTTGCCTTTTGTTGCTGGATTTTTTGTCCATTCACTTCATTCTACGTATTTTTGGCTTCATCTGGTTTTGCCCTTGACATAAACTTCTAGTTGCGTATCACTTTAGGAAAGCTGTATGTAAGTATTAAACTCCTGCTTTTGGAGATTTTGATTTCTCTCATTCAAACTGCAACCTATACCAAGTCTTTCATCCTATTATCACGATTTTAATGATCTTTGCCAATATGGTATGGCTCTTGCAGGCTTTGATGATACTGGCATATCATTTGGTTCTGTTGAAGGTATGTTGTTGTAATTTGAGTTCGCTTTCTTCGGGTTTATCTTGGTTTTTGTCAAGTTAATTTGGGAAAATCATGGAATTTGTTGGATGCAATGACATTAATCTTATCAACCCTATACCACATCAATTTCTTGCCTGGATTGAGGAGCTTAATGAGGCGCAGTTCTCATAAGACCAATTTTTATTACCTCCACAGAAGGTTCTTTTTTTAAACTTAACACTGTACCTTTTTCCCCGACTAACCTCTCTTTGATGCCCTTATCTTTCCATTTATTGATTTGCTTCCTTCAGCAATAACTATATGTGGTTTTCCTGTCACCTTTGTCAACTTTTAGGTTCTTCTAGTGTACAGTTTTTTGTTTAGTGGTTTAAACACACAGATGTTTAAAAAGTGGATATCTATCACTGGGGTTAGTAATCATAAAATCTATGTTCATGTTACACGATCTTATTATGCCTTCTATTAGTTTTCATTCTTGATGGAGTTTTTATTTTACTGCGAATAACTAGGGTGGGGACCTACATAACGAAAAGCATGTCGAGTTGTTATATTGATGCACTTCCATACAGAATTAACAAGTAAAAATTATGTACCTTAAGGATCCGTGGCAAACAACTTTGTACTGAAGCATGCCTTTAATCTTATTCTCAATATCATGTCTTTGAAATGTTATGCAACTCCTTCTGCTTATGTATTCCGGTGTGCAGCTAGTGGTAGGCCAACACTCAATCTTGAAAGACGCTTAGATCATGATGGACATCCTCTTACTATCACAGCAGCTGATGCAGTTGCAGCCAGTGGAGTTCCACCTTGAAATTGTAGAGAGGCCTCAGGAAATGGTAAGTTCTGTAAATTAGTATTTTCTCTGAACTGATTTTACCAAAAGATATGATGGTTTTGCATGTAGGACAAGGTTCAGGTGTTCATTTGTACTTGCTCAAGTGAATGTGATTTAGGCAGACTCTTTTGATTCAGAGTGTTATGTCCTGAGTATCGTCTTAGATGAAAAATTTAAATTCAATGAATGTCCATTCCATATATCAACTTCTCATTTTCTTTCACATTCTTTTTGGTAGGTGGGGACTGTCAGTTATACGGAGGAAGGGTTATAACTATCAAGTATGGGGACTACACAAGAAGGATTGGTATAGACGGGACCGCGTATGCCATCAGAGAGGCAATTAAATCTGCATTTAGATTGAGAACGAACGTTCATTTTGGTTAGAGGATGAAGACAATATAGTTCGCAGTCTCGACAGGGAAATGCCTTTAGGGAATTATACACTCCACCTTGATGAAGGTAACTTCGGCACGGTTGCCTTTAGATGATATAGTTCTGGTCATTTAGGGAATTAACATATTAGGTTCATGTCATTATGTGTTTGGGTGTTTTGACTTTTTATGGTCAAATTAAGTTGAGTCGGGTTTGGGTCAGAATTGAGGGGTCAAACTGTAACATCCTCAATATCAGGCTAGTGACCTAAAGGTGAATTTTGAAAGCATTGTGTTCAATTTCGAAATAAGTTAAAAGTTCAGAATTTTAATTGGAGAATTTTGAGGTTGGATTTAATAGTAAAGTTTGAAAGTAATAAGGGTATTATGGTCTTTTCTAAGAGAATATTTTTATTTATCTTTTAGGGGATATAAAAAAACGTGGGAAATGAGAGAAATGAGTTTCCAGAGTTTTCTTCTTCTCCTTTCTTCTTCACGCGTGGAAGCCAAGAGCAAAGGTGAGAAATTTATTAGTTGATTATTATTTGAATTCTAAGTTTGTTTTGATTCTTTGGAAAGTAAGAAAGCTTAAAGAAGTCTAAAGATAAGTGAAAACTCAAAGATGAAGAGGGTTAGAAGAGATTAAAGAAAATGGGGTTTTAAGTGAAATTTTGAATAAGAAGGTTTAAATGAATTTGGAAGATGAATTTGACTCGTTATCTATAAGAATAAGAAGTTAGAAGTGTTAGAATTAAGTTTGGATAACATGGAAAATTGGGTATGATTATTGATTTCCATATGAAAGATGGAATTTTGAGGTTAAAGATGAGATAAATGAATATTAACGAGTTTAGGTATGTATATGTAAGTTAGGAATATGAAAGGGGTTGAAATATGAAGGATTTAATCCAAAAAGAATGAATTTTCGGGTTCAAAAAGAGAATTCTGGGCAGAGTGCATAGATGCATATTCATAGTGCACCGATGCATCAAGGTTAAAACCCAGAAATTGTTTGAAGGTGTATCGATGCACAGGTAGTGCATCGATGCACTCTTTTAATCTAAAAACATCGAATGCAATTAGTGCATCGATGCATGCCTATGCATCGATGCATCCCAGTAATAAACAAACATCGAATGTATTTTATGCACCGATGCACAGGTAGTGTATCGATGCACCGATAGGGAATGCATCGATACAATGTGCAGTGCATCGATGCATACCTTCATTAAAAGATGAAATGGGCTTTTCTTTTAGCCTAAAAAGTGACAATTTAGAAGCTATCAATTAGTATACTGATGTGTATCAATGTATTATTATGATGTAGATATAGAATGAAGCTTGTTCCGGAACAATCTAAGGATTAAGATTGATTCAAAGCAAACAAGGCTAAGGTGAGTGCACATTATTTAGTATATGAGGTTCAATGGAAAATAAGACTTGCGATAAGTCTATTTCCAATAATGAAAAACATGAATTCATAGAAGTATGTATTTGTTATGATTTATATGTGTTATTGATATGAATATGGTAAGTAAAAGGGATTAAGGGTGATGATAAGAATAATAATAAGGATAATGAAATTATAGGTATATGTGAATATAGGTATTGATGTGTTTTTGTATGTATTGTAAGATGATATGTTTATGTGATAACATGATAAGATGACAATGATTTACATGTCATATGAACACATGAGAAATGTTATGAGCCATATGAAAGAGAAAGTATATGTGATACATGAGGGTGAATCCTATGTTTATATGAATATGAACTCATATGAGAATTGACATGAACTACGTGATTACATGTATATGTAAATGAAACCATGAGCTTATATGAATATATGATATGGTTACATGAACATGTAAAAGGATATAAAAGATAATGCCCATGTTATATGTCATGAGAGCTAGGGGTATAGTTGGCATGCCAAGAGTCGAGGGTCTATGTAATCCTTCGGGACATATATGTATTCTTTGGAACATGTGTGAAGTCTGGTGAGACACATACTTGATCCCTAGTATATGTATATGATTCTTAAGGAATGATATGTGGTCCTTCTGGACATTATTATATGGCACTACGGTGCAATTCTACGCGGCACTCCGATGCAATTCTACGTGGCACTTCGGTGCAATTATATGAGTTGTGGTGACAACATTAGTGCACAACTCCTATGTACTCGCATATCTTTAGTTGGGGTGTTACTTTTAATGGTATCAGAGCTACGGTTTAGCCGATTCTAGGCATAAATTGAAGTAAAAAGTGTTTTAAAAAGTATACATGCCAACATAGAGTGAATAATTTCTGATATGATAGTGTAAGGAGTGTATTGTCTTGCTAATAGAATTAAAATGTTATGTTATATTAGATGTATGATCATGAGAGCTTCTAAAGTGAAGCACAAGGTAATAGACTGAAGGTAATAACATTCACCTGCCCTGGCCAGGCAGGGAGAAGAGCGAAAAACCTCAGGAAGTGCCTGTATATATTTAGGGAATGTCTTCACCATGTTGAAGAATATTGATGAATTTTCAATTTATATTTTTTTTAACTCATAGAATGAATGTATCGAATTAGTTGAAAAGTTAAGAGCACCCGAGTTCAAGGATGGATTTGAGAAAGGTTCTGTTGTTACAGACTTATGGTTAGATGATATGATAGAAGGTTTTTATTTCTCCAAAGAGGAGAAATTAAATTGAGTAGTTTCGCTACTACTTTGACAAGTTAGAGTATGGCGGATAAATGAAGCTTGAATATATGAGCTTGAAGCAAGGGAATTACCCATGCATGTGTATGAAAGTAAGTTTGATAAGTTAAGCAGATTTATTGTTGAATTGATTCTGATTAAGAAGGATGAAAAGGATACATGTGATTGATTGTTTAAGACTTGTGCCTTAAATTAAAAGAGTTTTACTGGTTTTGAAATTGTTCTCATTTCAAGAAATGGTTGATCGTGTGAAAGCTCTAGAGAGAGCTAAGAATAAAAGGATTGGGAAAAAAAATCTCAGATGATTAAGAGAATTAATGCTTCATAGAATTTTAGCACCATCAAAGAAATGTAGAGATTCTGGTTCAACTTTAAACCAGACATGAATTAGTTGTATTCTCCGTCAGAGAATCAAATCAGATGAGAGTTCGACAGACTCCAACAATAGGTTTGATCTTGAAAGATTAAACAAAGAGTTAATTGAGGATAAGTCAGGGTTAAAGACAACACTTGTGAATTGGGTTAAAAAGCTCTTTCAGAAGTTATGTAAATCGAAGCATAACAAGTATTTTAAATGAATTAGATGAGTATTGAAATCTGGTGATTTTTGAAACAAGTGGAGGAATGGATTAAGTTCCTTGCTAGAGATTAAATAATGTGAAGGATAAGAAGTATTTTAAATGTATCAAGTGAGGTAGATACTGTTTTTTTTTTAAGATGAAAAGAGTTAGCGTTGGCTAACAAGATTATGGGATGAAATGTATTGAAATTTCAAGATTTCAAGATATGGTAGGTTATGATAACCAAATATGAAGTGAATCTGGATACAGTTTTATGCTGTGATTATAGTAATGTGATAGAGTGAAGGAAGTGAGGATTTAAATGTTTGAGTAAAACTAAGGATTGATAAGAAGAGTTTAAGTATGGGTACATCAATGATCAGTTTATAAATAAAGGAAGTTAGAATGTTAAGCTTAAATAATGGAAGTGACATGGTGTATGAGATTGAATGTTTATTTGATTAGTTGAGTAAACTATTGTTGAAATAATTCCGACTGCAAAAAATGTATATGAA